CCAAATCATCTCAGGACCTATATATTGTATATAATTGACACCTCGTTAGTCCGATGATTCAGTTCAGGCAGCCGCTCCGAATCCACCGCTTGGTCAGTCGGAACGGATTGACACCTCGACTAATTAAGTTGTAAACAGATTGCGTTCTAATCCGTTAAACGATTGAAGTTGACCGCGCTGCTGACTGGTCCACCCAAAGTGACACGTTGTTTGTTTAGCGAGTTAGCGACTCATTCCTACGATCCCTTTATCATAAGTGATTGGGAAATTTCGACGACCACACTGTTTTGGGAAAGACTTCAATCCAGAAATATATGCTCGGTACCGTTTCAACACGAATTAAAATTATAAACTATTTTTCGCAATGTTATTGAAAACAACGATTCTCAGACACATGCTTCGGCAGCAGGTCCACAATAACATTGTCAAAGAGCAAAGTAACGATGTAAATTGAATAAACTAATGAATGAAATCCATAATTTACGTATAGGTAGCGATTTCTTGCTTAATATGTTCAAAATAGCATTATTTTACCCAAAACTTTCGACTAAATCTAAAGGTTTTGGTTTACAAGGACGGTATCCATTGCCGTAATATGATTGGCTGCCTTAGGTCACGTGTCTGATTTTGACCAATCACGACCCTTATAGCAGACTGTAGCGAAAAAGCGTCATTAGAAACCAATTTTTATCCAATAAAATCGCTTCTTACAACTGTGAAAATACTCTCGGCAAGGGTTCAGTGATGTTGTTGATGTTCAGAGCTTTCGAACGATACCCGACATCAAACGATTCGCCTCCCATGTTATTCATACGACGCTTCGAAAACGGAGGTATTTTCCGTTGTTATGTCATGTTACCGAGCGGAAAGCCACAGATATCAGGAAATAGGTGACCATACATATTATTTAAGAAATCTTTTTAAAATAATTTTCTGATGACGTAAAAATGAAAATATAAAAGAAAAAGGCACGGGCATGTTATGACATGTCACAAATGGAAAAAAATCGCCATAGTTTTTGAATAACATTATAAAAATAAACTTCATATTTATCAACAGTAGGATTAGATCTTTTAAATGGTGTATGGGATGTAGTAGCAATAACGTTTTACAAGCTGATAATTTCCTTCATAAACATAGGCTTCATCTATGACCTCAGAGTCTCGATAGTAGTAAGGAAGTAGATATCTGTGGTTTCAGGGAAGTAACTCAAAGTGTGCATATACTGTGGTTTCAGCAAATAATTTGTTTTCAAGTACATTGAGAACGTTTCACTAAACCAAGTAAAATGTAACAAGGACAATACAAAATATTCAGTTTTATGTAACATGAAACCAAAGTGTTTTGATTGAGTTGGTTTAACAGAAGGTCTAGAAGTTCTACAAACATACAGCTTCTACACTGTGAAGCTTTATCATGGATATAGAACTGGTTTTCAGTTTATTTCATGTATGTATGTGTTCTACAGCTGTAGTTTTGTGAAACCATAGGTGGCAAAGTGAGTTTGTTGATATTCACATTGTTAGGGAAATAATCATTTTGTACATTGGCACTCTAGTTTTGTGTTAGTGTTTATGTACAGTGTTCCTGAAGGAACATTTTCTGTTGTGGACATCAGGCCTAAAAAAAAAAGCTTATGGTTCCGATTTCCTGACCGACCCTAAATATTCCCGCTGAGCCTAACAATTTTACTCACCACATAATAAATTAAATTTATTTTCTGACACATGAGTAATGTAAAAATATTTTGCAAAAAACCCCAAAACCTACCTACCTACCCTAGTTCTGAAATGTAGGAAATCGGAACCACAACATGTATTTTTTTGGGCCTCAGTAACAGAAGGTCCTTTGTGACAATCTGCTTAAACATTTGGCAACACTGCCGTTGTTTCCAGTTTTTGCCTTGTTGATTTATTATGACTATAAGTTTCCCATCCTGTGTGGATGACAGGTGTAGCAGGTGAACTTCAGGGTGAAGGTCAACTTGGCTCGCTTCCACACAGCCATTACAGGACTTACAGAGCAGTGAAACACTTGGCATGGTCTCTTCAAACAGGTTTCTCAAAAACATTCATTTACATTCCCGCCATGACGTCTGATGTTCCCAGTGTTTTGCATATGTAACAGAATGGTTGTTTGATTACATATTCATGCGGGTTTTTTACTACCTTCATGGAATAAAGAGGAGTTGTTTTTATCGGGATCCTTTGTTCGGACAGTCTTTGTAATAATCTATGTAATGGTTACATTTTGAAGGGCAGTCTTTGTAATAATCTGTTTGATGATTACATTTTGAGGGACGGCCTTTGTAATAATCTATTCAGTGGTTACATCTTGAGGGTCAGTCTTTGTAATAATCTATTTAATGGTTACATTTTGAAGGGCAGTCTTTGTAATAATCTGTTTGATGATTACATTTTGAGGGTCGGTCTTTGTAATAATCTATTCAATGGTTACATTTTGAGGGGCAGTGTTTGAGATATTTGGATCATGGCTAGTACAATTGGCAATGAGGTATGCCAACAGGATGTGCTGCCATGCAGCTGGCTATGATATTGATGGATCCTTTTCTCAGATAAAGACCAGGGTGAATGTTAGGCCTTGGTCTGCTAGAGGTAATGATTGCTCATCCTTAGGGTTTGGGGTATTGGGGCAGATCGAAAGGTAGCTGAAAGTGCTGAGGTCCTTGGGCATGTAACTAAATATGGTAGCCAGGTAAACAAGTGTGAGAACCAGCTGACCAATGTGTCTGATTGTACGTCAGCATACACTGATGTCACAGGTCCCTCACAACAGACCACTGGTCCAGTGTGAGAACCAGCTGACTAATGTGTCTGATTGTACGTCAGCATACACTGGTGTAGCAGGTCCCTCACAACAGACCACTGGTCCAGTGTGAGAACCAGCTGACTAATGTGTCTGATTGTACGTCAGCATACACTGGTGTAGCAGGTCCATCACAATAGACTTCTGGTCCAATTTCAGTAGTTGCCAGTTGCTGGAATATTGCTAAAAGTGGCGTAAAAACTAAACTCACTTGCTTTTTGTGTCTATGAAATATGGTAAACTGGAACCAATTATAGAACAGACCATCAGACTTATGTGGAAATATATTGGTCTTCATTATTTAAGCTCCATAGCAAGTTTTGTTGCCATACTCCGATTTCCACGCTTTGATCTTTGGTGAACTGGTTTCTTCCAAAAGTTGTCCAGGTATTCAATGTTTGTTAAAAAAAACACTGACATAGTTCAGGACTTGACAAAAAAATACCTTTAAAGTTGCTGGGCAAATTCTGTAATGCATGCTTCTGGTAAACTGATGGTATTTGAATGTGTATATTTTTCCATGTGACTGTACATAGCAAGTGATATTGGACCTCACTGTTGAATTAGGCCAGCAAATGCAAAGTCTAAGTGGAGCTGGATAACTTGGACAGTAATGTGGCCAAATAAACATATTCCCCTTGAAAACACGTCTCAGACCCACATTCACAGTTGTTTTTCAAGTTGAGTGTTTGGCTGCCACTTGTAGTGCTGTCCTCTTGCCTTTCCCATGTGAGGGAGATTAAACGGGGTTAAGTCTTAAAAATGTTCCTGAACTTGGAGATTGGGGTGCTTTATTTCATCTCATTGCTGTCTGATTTCTAGTTGACGTAACTGTTCAGGGATGGGTGTCATTCTTAGGACATTGGGACATGTTCTTAATCCAGTGTGTTGTTATTGGGAAGGTAATTATTTGTAGGAGATGTAAAAAAATCCTTTTTAAATTTCTTCAGCAATAAAATTTGTATTTGAAGTGGCAACTACTGGTGTTTTCAAACAAATTATTTTTAATTTCTAAAGTAGATTTTTTTTATGAAATGTGTTGATGGCTCCTCATTTAGATGGGGAACAAAGTCATAAGGCTTGAGTGGCATTGTGGCATTCTTGGAGTGAGGACTGCAAGACACAAGCTATGCTCAGGTTTGTCAGTTCTCGGAGAGTACTTTTCAAAGACTTTCATTCACAATGTTCTGTGTACAGTTTTGTTTTGAAACATGAAAGTTGTTTGAAAAACATTCTTATTATGCAAGTTGAGACTGTTTTGGGCATTATTGTGTGACGCTTGAACCTGTTAGGTCAGCTGTTTGTATTCCTTCTTGTGATGGTTGAACTATCATTGATTTGTATTCGTTGTGTGACCTTAAAACACAAATAGATATCTTTATGGGTGTGTTTTCACATTGTGGAAACAGTGTAGTCAACATGTGCAGATAATGTTTAGTTTCCTTCACTAATTGCAGCACAATGGCTGACATCTTTAACACAAACCTAGTTTGTATTTATTCCGCACATGTAGGAGGTCCTTAGCCGTACTATTTGTGAAGATGAGTGTGTTAATCAGCCCAGGTACGGCAGCGTCTGTACTGACTCATGTAGAAGGGTGATATGCAGGGTGAAGCCCCCACCTTGATAGCCTGTCTCACGTTTATGTAACTACATGGACAGGGATCTGGGTGGATAATGCTTCGGACATACTTTCCTCCGATTCACCAACTGAAAGTCATCTTCACATGCAACATGTTCTATTTCAGTTGTCCATAGACAAGTTAGAATTCTTCTAAAGTTCTGTGAACTGTTTTACAGTACTTCACACCAAGATTCTATAAAAACAGCTTTTTATGTGACTAGAAGTAATAGTTATTGAGTCTTTGTCATTCTTATTTAAATGTACAATTAGTTGAAAACATTGTCAAAAGTAGAACAGTCACAGGGGCATATAACATCTATCATTATTGTATTCTTTCTTTATCAGTTGTCGTCTGTTGAAGTCTGTTTCCCTGTATACTATTCTTTGACCCTACAATCTTGAATGTATATGAAATGTGTAAAGTTGAAGCTGTTATACCAAGTCCTGATTCCTGCCAGCATGTCTGACTGTCACCAGGTGTCGGTGAATGAGTCTTATGAGATTTTCAATACCTTTGGTGCATATTCTAAATGTGTGGCTTGTGTTGCAGAGTTACGAGTGGGCCTTGGAGGCCATGAAGTATGTCGCCAGCATGAGGATGGAACACTGCGCAAGTCCTGATGGCCTTGACAAGCTGCTCAAGTCTCTTGATGCCTATCTGAAGGAACATCCACCTCTCACAGAAGATGCCTTTCTGCAGATGATCAACACAGCTCAGAAGCTGCACAATGACAAGCTGCTGGAACAGTGTCGAGTCGCAAAAGCTCGGTGTGAGGAGACATACCAATTGTTACTTCTACGTCAGAACACTCTTAAACGTGCCAAGGACCAGCTAGTGAAAGAACAGACAGTGAAAAGTGCCTCGCCCAAATCTGTGCTGAAACCACTGGAGGACACTTCCCCTGAGTGGGAGCCACAAACGACCAGCACACCTTATCGGATTTCTGCACCCGGTCATCGGGTGTTGGATAAACCGTCAGATTCTTCCAGTGGTAGTAATGTGTCCCTGTCTCCATCCAGGAGTAGGACATTAGAGTCTCAAAGTGAGGCAAGAGACAAGAGTGTTTATTGCACCCGAAATGGTGGCACCAGTGCCAGTCTACCAGTGTCTCCCACGTCTGACCACAGCAGTTCTGACAGTGGGAGTGCATCTGACTCAAAACTGCTGCTGTGTCGAACAATCTCACAACCCCTCCAGGGGCCAGGCTCCACCTTCAGCTCACACAATCGTCCAATCAAAAAGATGCTGAAGCGTGCAAGCACTGCCCCAAACATCCCTCCGCCAATCAACTCCACAATTTATGAAGATGCAGAGCACAAGCCAATCCGAGAGCGACGGTCTGGCAAGTCAGTCAGCATGATCACAGGCAGCTCTGAAAGTCTCCCCAGGTAGGAAGACATTGTGTTCTTGTTATAGGGACATATTCTTCCTGCTCCCTCCACTAAATGTGGGTAGGCAGTGTCCATGGCAGCTTTGAAAGTCTCCCCAGGTAGGAAGACATTGTGTTCTTGTTATAGGGACATATTCTTCCTGCTCCCTCCACTAAATGTGGGTAGGCAGTGTCCATGCGGAATAACAGAAGATTATTTTCTTATGAACATTCGCAAGACATAAATTATAAGTTTCTAAATGCAATTAAACTTAAAGGGATCATAATACAAAGTTTAATGTCAAACATGATTAAGTGCTGGTACATGAAATTGTGGGTTAAAGAATACATGGTAGGTGTTGGGATTGTCATCAAACTGACACTACCTTATCATTGATCTCTCAATATCAGGAATTTATGAAGATTGAAATATGACCATATAAATATTTACCTTAAACGAGTAATGTATACATGGCAAAAAGGTATCCAGACTCTTCACAATGAAAATGAATTCATAACCACAAATATCTTTTTGTGATGTTTTAGATTTTTAAATATACAGAAAAATGCATTCCTTTTAACTGCATAGAACATGATTTGAAAGTTTATTCAAATGACAAAATAAGTAAAGTTAAGTAGAGACTGAGACAGAGTAGTGTCAAGGACAAACTGAGGCAGTAATGTCAAGTACAGACTGAGACAGAGTAGTGTAAAGGACAAACTGTGTCAGTAATGTCAAGTACAGACTGAGACAGAGTAGTGTAAAGGACAAACTGAGTCAGTAATGTCAAGTACAGACTGAGACAGAGTAGTGTAAAGGACAAACTGTGTCAGTAATGTCAAGTACAGACTGAGACAGAGTAGTGTAAAGGACAAACTGTGTCAGTAATGTCAAGTACAGACTGAGACAGAGTAGTGTAAAGGACAAACTGAGTCAGTGATGTCAAGTACAGAATGAGACAGGGTAGTGTTAAGGACAAACTGAGGCAGTAATGTCAAGTACAGACTGAGACAGGGTAGTGTTAAGGACAAACTGAGACAGGGCTGTGTAAAGGACAAACTGAGTCAGTGATGTCAAGTACAGACTGAGACAGGGTAGTGTAAAGGACAAACTGAGACAGGGTAGTGTAAAGTACAAACTGGTGTCAGTAATGTCAAGTACAGACTGAGACAGGGTAGTGTAAAGGACAAACTGAGACAGAGTAGTGTAAAGGACAAAAAGGACAAACTGAGTCAGTGATGTCAAGTAGAGACTGAGACAGGGTAGTGTTAAGGACAAACTGAGACAGGGTTGTGTTAAGGACAAACTGAGTCAGTAATGTCAAGTACAGACTGAGACAGGGTAGTGTAAAGGACAAACTGAGACAGGGTTGTGTTAAGGACAAACTGTGTCAGTAATGTCATGTACAGACTGAGACAGGGTAGTGTTAAGGACAAACTGAGACAGGGTTGTGTTAAGGACAAACTGTGTCAGTAATGTCAAGTACAGACTGAGACAGAGTAGTGTTAAGGACAAACTGAGTCAGTGACGTCAAGTACAGACTGAGACAGGGTAGTGTTAAGGACAAACTGAGACAGGGTTGTGTTAAGGACAAACTGAGGCAGTAATGTCAAGTACAGACTGAGACAGGGTAGTGTTAAGGACAAACTGAGACAGGGTTGTGTTAAGGACAAACTGTGTCAGTAATGTCAAGTACAGACTGAGACAGAGTAGTGTTAAGGACAAACTGAGACAGGGTTGTGTTAAGGACAAACTGTGTCAGTAATGTCAAGTACAGACTGAGACAGAGTAGTGTTAAGGACAAACTGAGACAGGGTTGTGTTAAGGACAAACTGTGTCAGTAATGTCACGTACAGACTGAGACAGAGTAGTGTAAAGGACAAACTGTGTCAGTAATGTCAAGTACAGACTGAGACAGGGTTGTGTTAAGTACAGACTGACACAGGGTTGTGTCAAGTACAGACTGAGACAGGGTTGTGTCAAGTACAGACTGAGACAGGGTTGTGTTAAGTACAGACTGATACAGGGTTGTGTCAAGTACAGACTGAGACAGGGTAGTGTAAAGGACAAACTGAGTCAGTGATGTCAAGTACAGACTGAGACAGGGTTGTGTTAAGTACAGACTGAGACAGGGTTGTGTTAAGGACAAACTGAGACAGGGTAGTGTCAAGTACAGACTGAGACAGGGTAGTGTTAAGGACAATTTTAGACAGTAATGTCAAGTACAGACTGAGACAGGGTAGTGTTAAGGACAAATTGAGACAGTAATGTCAAGTACAGACTGAGACAGGGTAGTGTTAAGGACAAACTGAGCCAGGGTTGTGTTTAGTACAGACTGAGACAATATCTTTTTGTGATGTTTTAGATTTTTAAATATACAGAAAAATGCATTCCTTTTAACTGCATAGAACATGATTTGAAAGTTTATTCAAATGACAAAATAAGTAAAGTTAAGTAGAGACTGAGACAGAGTAGTGTTAAGGACAAACTGAGGCAGTAATGTCAAGTACAGACTGAGACAGAGTAGTGTCAAGGACAAACTGAGGCAGTGATGTCAAGTACAGACTGAGACAGGGTAGTGTTAAGTACAGACTGAGACAGTAATGTCAAGTACAGACTAAGACAGAGTAGTGTTAAGGATAAACTGTGTCAGTAATGTCAAGTACAGACTGAGACAGGGTTGTGTTAAGTACAGACTGAGACAGTAATGTCAAGTACAGACTGAGACAGAGTAGTGTTAAGGATATACTGTGTCAGTAATGTCAAGTACAGACTGAGACAGGGTAGTGTAAAGGACAAACTGAGTCAGTGATGACAAGTATAGACTGAGACAGGGTAGTGTTAAGGACAAATTTAGACAGTAATGTCAAGTACAAACTGAGACAGGGTAGTGTTAAGGACAAACTGTGTCAGTAATGTCAAGTTCAGACTGAGACAGGGTTGTGTTAAGTACAGACTGAGACATTGTGTTATTAAGTACAGACTGAGAAAGAGTAGTGCTGAGTATAGGCAGAGATACTCTGGTGTGAAGAATAGACTAAGACAGGTGCCTAGACAGGGTGATGATAAGTGTACGAACAAGATATGTTGACCTTCATATGTTTTTCACAAGATCAAATTCTTATAAAGAAACAGTATCAGACAGAATGCTTCAACAGTCTTAAGGAAAACCCGGGGGAATCATAAAGACCACTTATAGTCCGTTTGGCTCAAAAGCGGACCAATGAATTGCATTCTAACTCGAAAACTAATAAACATAACATACTCAATGAAACGCTGATCATAATCAAAACATCAGACCAACTCTGTAATTTGTTTGCAGAATTTATGTTCTAAATTTAACTGACTAACTATGATTAAAAGTTTGACACAGTTCACCATTTGTTACGAGGGAGGAGTGCAGAGAAAGGGACAGCCCGGTGTTCGAGAAGCACGTGCACAAGTGCCGACAACATTATTGATTCATGAACCTGTGCTGTGCCGTCTCCATCCTTTCTCGCACACCTGGCTGTCCTTTTCTCTGCACTCGTCCCTCGTAACAAATAGTGAATTGTGTCGATATTTTAATGATAGTTTGTTAAACATAAATTCTGCAAAAACCTCACAGAGTTGGTCTGAGGTTTGATTATGATCAGTGTTTCATTGAGTATTTTATGTTTATTAGTTTTCGAGTTAGATAGCAATTCATCGGTCCGCTTTTGAGCCAAACGGACTATACCACTTCAGCATACATGGGCATAATGGATTGCCGGGTGTTACTACACCCACACTCAGGAACAAAACAAAGAAATGCAATTTCAGCTTGATCCATGTCTGGACTCAGTATCTTGTTGACACACATTTACAGTCACCTGTTACTTAGTAGCTCAGAGATCATTAACACTTGTCATTGCCACAGATTCGTTAACAACTTCGGAAACTCTCCCCTTACATTTCTCATGGTGAACATTTTGGCATACTTCATGTTAATATGTTCCAATACACTGTCATTGAGAGTGGCTTACTATGACACTTCTTGAGAGACTGTTGCACCCAATGATGTGAAGTCTGGGAAGGTTTGTCTGTTAGATGTGTGGTTGGTTACAGCTGGATGACACTGAAGGTGTGTACAGTTCCTCATACAGACATGATAGGCTGTTCCATAGTGAGGATAACTTATACTGAGAGAAACAAATAAACGAACACAAGAAAATTCAAGTGTTCCTTTAATATTTTCCTGTTTTCATCACCAGCTTGGGATAGCGCTGTGGGAGGAAATCTGAGAATATATAAAGCAACACTGCCATGATGTGGTGTTCCCTTATTTGTTTCCCTCAGTATATGTCTGCAATTTGCCATAAATGGACTATAAAACAAAGGGACTTTTAAGGCCAGTAGTTTGGCACTATCTTTATGAATGGAAATTGTTAATGTTAATTTTGTACTGGAAAATTTCTTGCAACGCAGGCAGGTTACATAACACAGCAAGACAACAAAATCTTCCAAAACACATTCTGGGATGTTAATACGTTATGATTTAAAAACATTTATAAAGATGTTTTTGAATTGTCTAGACTATGTTTTTAGTATTCTAATCGTGAACTATTAGTTACAACTGTAATGTGATTACTGTTCCCGCTTATTCATATTGCAGCTGAATAAATCATCAAGATATATCTCTGTTGTAGTAGCTTATTCTCATAAAACTGTTTTGATAACCACCAATTAGAGTAACAGTGAAAATCAGCTTCAAGTAATGAAGCAAACAATTTTCCGCAACGGTTAATTCCAAGCAACTTTTGTGAAACTAGAAAAAAACTAAGCCTTTAAGAAAAGGATTAATGTTGGCAAGGCCTGCGCAAACTGCTGCCATAGCACAAATATCACAGCCTGGACAAATGTCTGGTGATATGGATCACGTGTCCAAGAATATATGAGCAGCATGGATATTGATGTACTTCATGATGCCCAGATACCGCAGGGATAAACTAAAAAGGTTTCTTCCATCTCAAATAATATGAAGTTTAAACAAAACTTGC